GAGAGAAGGAGGTAGAGAGAGAGAGATAGAAGGATGGAGAGAGAGAGATAGAGAAGGATGGAGAGAGAGAGAGAAGGATGGAGAGAGAGAGAGAAGGATGGAGAGAGAGAAAGAAGGATGGAGAGAGAGAGAAAGAGAGAGAAAGAGAGAAAAGGATGGAGAGAGAGAGAGAGAGAGAGAGAGAGAGAGAAGGATGGAGAAGGATGGAGAGAGAGAGAGAGAGAGAGAAGGAAGGATGGAGAAGGATGGAGAGAGAGAGAGAAAGAGAGAGAAGGATGGAGAGAGAGAAAGAGATAGAGAAGGATGGAGAGAGAGAGAAGGATGGAGAGAGAGAGAGAGAGAAAGAGAGAAAAGGGATGAGAGAGAAAGAGATGGAGAGAGAGAAAAGGGATGGCGAGAGAGAGAGGGATGGAGAGAGAGATGAGATGATAGATAACTATGACTTGGGCACAGGTACTCTCTCCCCGGCTCACATGTGGCAGACCGGCAGACCTGTGCCAAACCAGTAAACTAGGATTATACCAAACAGACCCCAAAACTCTGTATAGGTGTCACATGACCCCTCCCCCCTCCAGGACATGTGATTACAAACATTTCCTTTCTGGTTACATTAAACATGAAATGTGTTCTAGAAGCAACAACATGTGACATCAACATGCCAACAGGAATGTATACACCTATTGTATCTTGCAGCATTGCCTGTATACTACTATTGTATCTTGCAGCATTGCCTGTATACTACTATTGTATCTTGCAGCATTGCCTGTATACTACTATTGTATCTTATATATAACAATTGTTGCAATACAGTAAACAATAATAATGGAAATCTAGTCACATAAATGGCCCCAATCTTGTATACAATAACAAAGAACACAAATGTAAACAAAGCAGAAAAAACACTGATGCCGCAGGTATCAGGAATGTATACAATCACATCTCATCTCAGTGATAAGTTGGGACACAAGGTGACCGCGGATCGATACTTTGTGTCACTGCGCTTTGCATGTCACTTTCATTACTTGCACCGCAGCAAAGTTTCCCTTTACACGCGGACGGTCCAGTCACCGTGAGTCAGTAACCCTTTGTGGGAAAGCGTGGGAGGAATGTAAGAGCGAGGGGCGATCTACAAAAGGCGTGAGCCGGGCAATTTGGCTGCGGCATACAACCGCGGCCACTAATGTGACATTCAGCAGGTGGCTGTGGCGAGCGAACTGACATGGGGGCCCTTGAAGAATAAAGACAAGTGTTTCCGTTTTGGTGATATACTTACGCCATGTTGGCAGTTGTTTGTAGGTTGCAGCACATGTGCGATCGCACACTTGTTTGGTGGCGGCGCGGTTCTAGATGGCCATGGTGACTCATATACGAGGAGGAGGTTTTGGCTGATTGAGCTGCTGGAAGGATATGGCAGGTCATGTGCGGCGGCTCAACTTCTATACTGTAATCCCGAGGTTACATCACCCCCTGGAGGTGGATCCCTCCGCCGCTCGCACGCCTCCTCCCGCTCTCACCTGACCGGCCGTACTTGTGCCACACGGGGGAAAGAACGCCGAGCCGGTGTCAGAGAGACGAGCCCGACATTCAACTTCACTTCCTGTTGGTTAGGATGCAGAATTTCCACTTGTCGTGTTTTGTTTTCTCTGTTTTAGAGACTTTTCAGGGGACTATTTCCTGTCGGAGGGAGCGAGCCGTGACATGCCAAAGAT